AACCTCAGCCGCCGGCCACCGTCACCATACGAGCTGAGCAGTGGCAGTGGTGACGACACGTCGTCGTCTTGCGTGCCCATATCGCTGGCGTTCGTGGCCGCGGCTGCCGCCGCAGCGGCCGGCGGAGTCGTGGGACCGGGCGGCTCGTTGGTTGGAAACAACAACAACAGCCAGAACAACAACAATCACCACCTTCAGCACCGTCACCGGCACCACTTTAACGGAAACGGCATGATGGCCATGATGACCGGTAGCGGTGGCGGAGGTATACCAATCGCGGTCCTCAATAACAACAACAACAATATGGTCCACGGAAATGACAACGACGTAGCAGGCATSAACAGCAACAACATTGCAGCGATCGTCAACAACGGCGGCGGAGGCAACGGCGGTGGCAACTGTCTGCCACACAAGCTCCGTCACAAGACGCATTTGGGCGACAAGGACGTGGCGGCCACAGCGTTGCTTTCGCTGCAGGCCATCAAGCAGGAACCCGGAAGCAGCCGGGCCAGTCCACCGTGGGACGCGGAAGGAAGYAGCGATGAGCGTGACTCTGGCATCAGCCTGGGCGTCGAATGGGGCGTCCGGCCATCATCCGCATCGGTCGCCGTGTGCCCGACGGCCACCCCGGTGGCCGCGCCACGAGCCGCCGCCATGCAGTCGCCAGCCGCCGTCACGATGGGTGGCGAACCGGCTGACGGCGCCGTACACGCAACCGCCCCGACAGCCGCCGCCGACGACACCAGACTTAAGTCCGAGGTGGCCCGGCTAGCGTCCGAGGTGGCCAGCCTCAAGAACATGCTGTCGTCCAGGAAGTCGTCCACCGCGGCTCCGGCCCAGTCCACCACCGTCGCTGTCAACTAATCGCGGCGGCAGGCCACGACGACGGATACAACAAAAATTATTGTTATTCGTTATTTCGATCCACAGGTATTTTGTTTGTTATACGTTCGCACGCGAATCCATACATAGGTAAATTATTATTATTATTATTATTATTTTTTTTTTTATGGTTATTATTTTAATTTTTATTAATATTTTAATTATTATTATAATAATATTATTATCATCATCATCATTATTATTATTATTATTATTATTATTATTAAAAGCTATGGTATTTTTGACGATGCTTCGTATATATCTATCGAACACGTTTTCGTCGCCCACCGAATGTCTTATTATAATACTATATGTGTGTAATATATAAAATAGATGATATTATTACAATGTTATTACTATTGTTACATCGTAACTCGAAGTAATAATATTATTGCGGTTTTTTTTTTATGTTTGCTTTCCGATCGACGAGGGCGCACTTGATGATGATCGAACCGGCACAAACAATATAATTGCGTGGGCGCGGGAATTACTTGTCGTTTTTTTTTTTTTTTAGGGGGGTTGATAAAAATCATAAACGCTGCGTAAATCTGAAGATGAATATTCCCTTCATCCGTCCATCAGTGCTGGCGTTCGTCAGATAATTGAATATTGTAAAGTGTAAATAAACTTGTAACAAAATATGACACGCATTAAATACGTACGGGGCGGTTCTCGTAGTGGCGGTTTTCCACGRTGATTTGTAACGGCTACACGAACTCCATATTTTGGGCCTTACTAGCGGAGAACCGCGACTGTGAGAGAATCGCCCTGTACGTACACTATATATGATATATGTATATTATATTGGTGTATGTGTGTGAGTGTATATAATATGTTTTTTTTTTTTTTTAAATATTAACGTCACGCCAAAAATATTCTAACGAACGGGGGCAATTTAGTCGAGGATGTTGCTATCTATCAAAAGTAATAAAACAACATTATTATTTCTTTGGACGTGTGTGTGTGTGCGTTAAGTGTGCTGCGTATGCGTATACGACCGACCGCGATTTAATAGTTATAGGTAGATATGTAGGTATATATTCTGCAATCATACAAAACAAAAATTTTTTTTCCGCCAGTCGTCGCGGTTCTAACTTAAAATATTATTACATCATGTCATCGGCGAGGAGAAGTTTAAAGTCAAATTTCCATTATCGAA